TATTTTTAAAGATTGAGTGTTTGAAAGGATTGTTAAAAGGGATTTTTTTTATGCTTATCATCATAGGAAACAATAAACGTTTCCAGGTAAATGTGTTTTACTGCATTTATTAAATTTACATTTGCTTTTTCCCTACATTTACCATTTCTTAGAACTCAAACCAGAAACTTTTCTTTGCAGAACTAAATCTTTATTTTTCACGGCTGTGTGCATGCATTTTTAGTAACAATATTTAATTTTTACAGACGTACTTAACTGGAAAGTTCCTGTTTAACCATTGGGCATTTGGGGCGGACGCACAGGGACCCAGGGCACGGATTAGTCGAACTTAACCAGATTTTCTGGTTATAAATTTCGATCCTCGAGTGCCAAGGGGGCCTGTAGATCCTCTACACGCAGGGCCCGAAATGAGCATAAATCGGCACTCTAACTTGGTTTCGTATATATTTCATATTGTTACGAATTTTGTGTAATGAAGGATTAAAACAGTGTTGATAACTTATATCTGGACGTATAATATGTTAATAATACTGTATTTGTATTTGTTTCATGCTAAATTGTTATATTCGCAAGCAACGCCATTCCTTACATTATAATGGTGATTCAATAGAAACTTGGTGAAATATTGGCTATAGAGCCAAGTTGGCATCATTGGCAAACATTTTGGCGACTTGAATACCACATTGGGAATCATATAGATGCTTCTGGAAATTACTGGAGAGAGTTATTAATATCACATCTACGACGTAGCGGATCTTTCGAGAAAGAACCGTGTGGCCTATAAGTATGAGTCGCTCACAAAAAAATTGGGTCAGTAACGACGAGTTGACTAGCGATTAGTTGCTACTATCGAGCGAGTGCTTGCGAGTAGTTTTATTCATTACGTATTTGTATTTTTAGACACTGGTAATAGAGCTGTGTCTGAGGGCGGTAGAAGGTCTTCTGGGATTTATTTTGCAAACATTGCTGCTAAATCCTGTACTTCCAATGATTCTTTTCCACAATAAATTTTCATCGCTCCTAAAGAACTTTTTTACTCTTTGAAACTGATAGCATAAAATCCTCGAACAACAATCTGTGTAACAATATGTATTTCTTTTGTTGTATCGTATAATATTTGTTATTGCTCTAACTTAGATCAATTATATTTTAATTAAAACATTCCAATTTTTCTGATACCCTTGTGACGGATCTATACGCGGTTTTACTAATCCCTTCATTTCTCTTTAAGGAAAATATTTATTTCAACCAACTTTCATCGAGTTTGGAGACGTTATTATGTAAATGAGGTATATCATATAAATTCTGTTTTCGCGAGTTTGGGGTCACGCAGTTGTTGACACGTTAGAGTTGGCACGCTGAAAATGATATGTTGGAGTTTGCAAGTAGAAGTTAACATAAAGTCTATGAATTAGTTGTTAGTTAAAGATTACAAAGCGTGGAGCCTATGACAGTGATCAATTTCGAAGAGAGCGCCTGCAAGTTTCCAGTGTAGGATCCGATGCATAAAAAGTTCAGGTACTGTGCGTTTGATTAGTAGAAGCTAGTTTATTAGTGTGCGACGTATTTATATTTGAGCGTATTTAAGTTGTCTTAGATTCAGTTGAGAGTCTGTAGTAGTATCCCCGTGTTATAGAATCTCACCTCCACGCTCTACTAAATATCATATACCTTAACTAGAATTGTATTGTGTCTGATTAATAATTAGAATTAATAAATTGATTAAATTGAAAAACATGTCTGTGGATTATTCTGTTTCTCTCACACCTTTATCCGGGTTTACAGGTAGACAAGAGGGTTCAGAATGTAAGCAGGAACCAACCGTTATCACACCCTTTCGTAATATAAGTAATTTAATATAATATTTGTTGACATAATTCTATTTTAGGTAAATATTTTTTGCACCAGCTTGAAAATGGAGGTTTTAAACTAAACAAATAACAGTGAACTAGACAAAAAAAAAGAGCAAATAACACGATACCCGTTATAAATTTGAAATTTTAAAAATTTATCCTGATTCTTAGTTAAGAAGTCCGTTGTAAGGAAAAAAAGATAGATCTATTTATACTTTTCTTATCGTACATACTGTTCCTTATTACAAGCAACAATTTAAATTTTTTTTTCATTAAAATCTTTGAATAGAGACAGAACAAAACCTAAATTCTAAATATTTTACATTAATTACAGCTTGAAATGGATAATTTTTTTTGAAAAAAAGAAAATGTTGTGTTTATTACAAACATAATGAAATAATTGGTTTATAATAATTCTGAGACACTGCATAAAATAAAAAATGGTAAAGATTTGCAAACTGAAGTTTTGCTCCTTAGTTTTAATGTGTTTTGTCTGTTACATATTGAACGTAATTATATCCATTTTATTATAATTAAATGTCTGAGTATTTTGTGCACGAACGAGAGCTTTAAGTAGCAAAAACTTTTATTAACAATTATCTCTCTCCTTACCTAACATTTACTAAAAGATCGTTTGTGTTAAAGAAAAATAATTTTTATCTTTGACATTAAATGTGTATATTTTATCCAAACTGAATAGTTTTGTATACACCTCAAGAAAAGATTATATTATCCTTTTGAAGAATTCAGTAATTTTCATTTTTTGCACTGTTTTTCAAAATTTCCGATATATTATGCTTATAATAGATTACACATTAATTTTCAATGTGTTTGAAATTTCATAGTTCCCCATCAAGTTTAAAAATTGAATACTGTCAAGCAGAAATTCAAGAAAATTTTAAAACATTTTAATTTAGATTTTTGTAATTACATTTAAAATCAATACAAATAAAAATTAAAGATATTTTAAACAGTATTTTCATTTCAAATTTCAAACAAATTTTCTTAAAGAAAATTTTTGAAAAATAATTTCAAGTTCACACACTAGTACTTTTTTATAACTATTACGGACGGTTTCTAACATTTATCTCTTTTATGAATTTTTTACTATTCAGAGAATCTCAATTATTTTTTAAAAATAATTAAAATTTTTCAAACAAGATATATTTTTGTGCTGTTTTGTGTTTCACTAACAAACCTTCGAATAAAAAAATATATGCGAAGTAATGTTTCAGTAAAATTTAAGCTAGTAAAGATGTTCTGCTAACTTTTGAATTTAATTTCTGTTTTAAAATGTTATTAAATTAAATATTATACTTTTGAGCAAAAAAACCCCTCATTTTCTAAAATTCCATCCACCGTATTCACCTGATTTAGCATCCTGTGACTACTCTTTATTCCCAAAACTTAAAATGAAATTAAAATAGTGTTATTTTGAGGATATTTCGATCTTACAAGTAGCTTCGACGCATGCTTTGCAGGCCATTCCACAAAGTGATTTACACACAACAGGTATTCTATTCCTTCATAAATCACTGTTACAAGTGCATTAAAGCCGTAGGGTCCTATTTTGAATAAAAACCCAAAACAGGAATTAATTTCTTGTTTCCATTTCTTTTTACGGATACAGTCTTAAAACTTATTTGCCGCACTGTGTATGTATGTTTGAAACTTCAATAAAAGCATTTTGTGGGTTACAATCAGGTTAGACGCATTGGATTAAGTTTTTGATCCAATTCGAAATTCAATTAAAAATATAAAATGGGAATATCTCATTCCTGAACTCCACAACAGGACTATCCCTCACTGTATTCTTTAGGTAGCGTATTTAATTGCTCAAAAAACAAGTGTTTTAGGTATCATAAGCAGAATTTTTCTTTTATTTTGGCGACAAACTGCAACATACTCCATATTGAAAACGCTAAGTTACTTTTGTATATTTCTCTTGTAAATTATTTACGAAGAATTCGAGTAAAGACAATGATCTTGAAATCAAAAAGAAAAGTTCAGTGACTTCTACTTCTGCGAAAGGCATTCTCGCGCATTCATACCTTACTCCTCATCCAAACAACAGCCATCTAAATATTTTATAGAACTTCGATCGATTCCAGCCAAATCTCGCACCAGGAAATATAAAACTCTCATTTCCTTGGCAAAAAAGGTGTGAGCCAAAAGACAAAAATCCCAGGCAATGAATCCATTTGAAAGCAGAAAAACAAAAGGGGAAAAAAGATTTTTCCCTATTCTATTTTATTTTTATTTAAACCGAAGACGTTAGACTGGATGGAGAGATGTCGTGCGAGACTCCAGAGACTTTTACGAGCTTTATTTTATTTTTTTACGACAACCGGACGAAATCACCAACCCACAAAAGAGGAAAAGGAGCACAAATTCTGAGAAAGCAAATATTCTTATAGAGCATCCGGCTTTGCTTTATTTACTTCTTGATTTTTTTATGAATTCTTAGGGAGTCTTCCTGTGGCAAATTCAAATAGGAAGAGGTACTTCACCCTTAATTCTAAAGTTAAACTCGAATATTGATTGTTCCACATGGGGAATCTTTGGATGGTACTGTGGAGAAGATGCTTGTTTCGGAATATGTACTTTCGGAAAATCTTTCATGTCATATTTTCTGAAATATACGGATAGACAACTGTAGCCTTGGCTCATGAGGACGAAATTATATGTTTGATTCATTTATTAGATTTTTTAAAATGAAATAGAATGTATTTTTACTTACGAATAGTTTTTAATAGAATACTCTGCTGAATATTTTTTGAACAAACCGCTTATTCGTACGTTTCTCCCTTTTCTTTTTACTAATTACTGATACTGAATACCGATTTTCATTGTAATTTTTGTGTTTTCATGTCTATTTCTCAATTTCTACTATTAGCTCACTCTTTCCTTATATTTATTTATTTATTTATTTCTATATCTTGTTCAAATTTTCAATCCTTAATAAAATACTTTCTATTCATCCATTCAAGTTAGAATTCATTTTTAAACTTGTCGTGGATGAAACTTGATGTTAATGCAGTTTTTTCAAATATTAAATCACTTACTTAATTAAAAAATGAATAAATAGCAACAAACAAAAATAATACTCAACAGTATATATAGAAAGGAAATTAGCTTGTAGTGTGCATTCGCGCAATGGATAGCGCATTGGACTTCTAATTCAGAGGTCGTGGCTTCGAATCCTACCTGGGATGGCTTAATTGCTGAGACTGTGAAGTCCTTTTTAGTATTCAATTTTATAAGAATAATTAAATTTAATTAAAACATAAATAGTAACAAACAAAGAAACAAAAATAGTCTAAAACCATATATAGAAAGGAAAATGAAAAATTGCAATTAAAAATCTATTTTGTCACTTAATATTGTGACTCTGTCATACGTATATATACATATTTATATTAATTGTAACTATTTAATGTCAAATTATATGTCAAAAAAAGATTCATACATTAGGCACTATTTGAAAGTATACTATAAGTTTTATAAAAGAGAACAAAAATTTTGATACTGATGAATATTTTAAATGAGTCTCAGAAATGTATTGAATACATTTTGTCATCTTAATCTAACATCTATAATGATTTAATTTTGAAAATTATCTAAAGAAAAAATGACGAAAATTGAAGCAAAAATAACTTTTTCACTCGCATTTTTTTTTACTCGCCAAATTTACTGATTTCCCCCTGTTTAAGGCAGAACTTTTTAGTGTAACTCTTGAGTTAGATGCGGTCGACGGTTAAACTGTTCAAAGGTCTTTGGCGCAAAACTATTTTTGACTCCAAGGTTTGACTAACTGTAAAATCGCGTATTTTTTATTATTTGTTTTTATTTTTAGGGCATAATTTTTAAGTTAATGCTTTTAAACTTCACAAATTAATTGCAAAAATAAAGTACTTTTAAATAAAAAAAAATGTACAAAAAATACTGTTTAAATTATTTCTCGCAAAAACGGTTTTTTACGAAAATCACAAATTTTTTTTTAAAATCCGTAATGTTTAAGGAATTTTTCAATCTTTGTACAGATTACGGATAATATTTTTTTACACACGGAAATAAAGTTTCGTACGATTATCTTCATAAATGACAAAGTTATTTAATGTTAAGTTAAAATTTTGGGTATTTTTTTGAAAAATCTTTAAAAAAAATGTTTTGGGAATTTTATTTTTTAAATCACTGGATCTAAAAGAGAAAGACTTGAAGTTATTTAGTGTAGAATATCGTTTTAATAACGCGAAAACAAATTCCAACGCAACAATTTAGAAATAATTTGCATAAAAACTCATCGGTTTTAACCCTTTTTTAAAAAATTCTTAAAAAATAGAAAGTATTATTATTTTGCAAAAAATATTATACCGTATTGTGGCGAAATAAATGGTCTTTCCGATTCTGTAATTATTATTTGTCTGATTTCAACAGTAGAAATTGGATGGCAATTTTAAGATGGTGGAAAACGTCGGATCACCGCTCGACCGAAACGGAATGGAAGTTCTGCCAAGTAAACAACCCGCAGGAGTAAAACAATTAGGTGTTTTAAGGTTTTTAATTAATATCTTTTTAACTAATTGCAATATCGAAATGAAAATTAGTTTACTTCCTATTCTCAGACCTACTGAATATACGGTCAAAATTTCATTAGAATCGGTCTAGCCGTTTCGGAGGAGTTTGGTTACAAACACTGTGACAGGAGAATTTTATATATTAGATTTAATAAGTCCTTTCTAAATAAATTTATTAAAAAATTTATTTCTATTAAATTAAAAAAAATAATTAAAAGAACTGAAAAATGTGAGATCACGTGTAACTCGAGTCCTATCCGCGCAAATTAAATAAATTTATTTCAAAGGGCTTATTTTAGAATTATATAAAATATATAATAATTTTAAATTCATAATATATAAAAAAGACATATATTATTTTTATTATATTAATTATAAAAAAATTAATTTTATGGTAATAATATATTTTATAGATTATGTCATAAGCTAAGCATTTTTCGAAGGCTATTTTCTTCGAATTGACTGGCCATTCGGCGCTTATATATTGAGGGTTGAACATACTAATGGAGTACTACTATTATACCAAGTCTCGTCCCAAAATGAATTTCCTTAATCTTGCCCTCCCCTTGTCAATGAACATAAAAAACTGTGTAAAATATTAATTATTAAGATTGTAACAATACAGCATATGTTGTAATACTGTAACATATTTATGCATCTCAAAAGCATTCAATATTAAATACAAATGCTGTCTTCTCTTGTTTCAGATTTAATCAAAAAGAAACACCTAGAAAAAGCATGCATACAAGAGGAATTTTTTCTTTATAAATGAAAGTAATTTAACATTTTCTAGTTTCCTCTTAAATTAATTAGAAAATTGAAACATCCAAAGGAAATTTTATATCCTGCAACTCAAAACAAAAAAGTCAATTAAAAACAACTAGTTAAAACATTTTCCAAAAAAAAGGGTCCTTATTTTTCCATCCATTTCCATATTTCATTACTTCCTTTATAAGAAAATAAATACATTCAATCGAAAGAAAGCTAAATTCTTTTCCGAAAAAAAAATACCATTTTTTTTTTTTTAATTTCGTATTTACTGTTTGCTTTTAAAGTTGTTTTTATGTTCCTTGCCAGCGACTGAAATAAAAGAAACAGATAAAAAAAATATATTGTAGGGAGAGAGAAAAAAAACTTTCTCCGAAATTCTCCTTCACTTTGACAAAGAAAAATAAAGATTTTTCATTGAGCCTTTTCTTCAAGGAGTTTGAAAACCAATTAAAGGTTAAACCTTCGGCTTTGATCAGCGAAAAAGAGATTATAAATACGTAAGTTCAACAAAGAAAGTGCTTCTTTCCTCATAGCTCAGACAATTTATTGCTTCTTTTCGACGAACTGTAATGTTATGGATAATGAAATTATTCTCCTTTTTTGGTAATCAGAAAAATGAACATCGTTTCAATAAAAGTACTCATTCGGACCGAAAAAAATTAGGAATGTTTTCTCACATATTTGAAGTGTGTTCCATGGTCTGGTTTTTACTTCACTTTATTTATTAGATTTCTTGACAAGCTATATTTTTTATGATAATTTCTAAATTTGCATTGATTTTATGTAACATTAAACAAATAATACATTAACTGGCTTTATTCCCCTGTTTTTACGTGTGTATAACTTTTTGCCCATAAAAATTTCCTTTTCCATCTCGGTGTCAGCACTTCCTTGTGTTTTTAGAATTTCTATATTAATGTCATTAAAATTCCCTCGTTCGAAATCTCTTCCATCTCTTGTTTTCCCTTCGTTTAGCCAGGCGTTACATGAGCTTTTCCGGAGTGCATGTTTATCCATACGGAAATTTCCTCTTTCCCTTCCAACACAAGCACTTCTAGGAGGGAGGGGGGGATATGCGCAATGTAAGAAATTTCCATATTTGTGTGATTAAAATTATCTTTTCCGAAATTTATTCCACTTCTTTTCCTTGTCAGACAGGTTTCTTTCCCCCTTCTTTTAGCAAGACGTTGCACGGGCTTTTTCGCGCACAAAACTTTTCCCCTCTTTTTTGCGACAGGGATAAGATCGTACTTCAAATTTCTATTTTCGATTAATAATTTGCAAAAATGATCTAGTTTTGTCCACAAGAAAACAAACAATCTACGATTTCATTATTAAATAATTAATTTAGTAATAAATAATAAAAAAAGCAATATCTCTTTAATTTTTTAAAAATATTAGCTTATATCCATTTTTGTTGAATATTGAATCAGAAAAATTCTTAACGCTAGCTATGAAACGACCGCTTATTTCTAGATGCTTTATTATTCGATTAAAAATATGTAACTATAAGAAAAGAACTACGAGGGGAGGGGGAGCCTAGCAATTTACTAACATTCACTGCATAAAATAATACTAAGAAACATCAAAATGCAATTCTGTAAGTTGTTTGTTATTATTATTATAGCTAGTACTATTTTAAAACAATTGCATGTTATTTAAGTCTCATGACACCCCCGGGGGGTATTTTTATAGGTTAATTTATTTATATTGGTGATATGTTCCATAAGTATATAATGTAAACAGATGTTTATAAAGTACGATAAATATATTCATTAAATTTTAATCAATTAAAAAAATCCTCTTTTCTTCTTAAAAACTTATATTACTTCTTAAAGCAGTGGCGTAACGTACACCCTGCATTTGGGGGGGGGGGCAGTATTCTAGAAGGCCCAAAGCCTGACTGATGCCAATACGTACTCGTTGTAACATCCGGCTTGGAGCCAAAAACCTGACTTTCCAGGGGGCCTCTAATAGTCTCCGTTATGCCACTCTCTTGAAGAACGTAATAATATCAGCTTACATGTTTCATGTACATTTCTAGAAAAAAGCCACTTCAAGTACTCATAAATAGTATTAATACAATTGTATTAATTTCAATTTTAATTGGCTGAATAAAAGGATTTTATTTATTAGAAAAATTGTTTAAGTTTTGAACATTATCAATGTTACTTTTTATAACGAAATACTTAATTATAATTATTAAGGGAATTATGCTAAGAACAAGAGTGGAATGATATATCATTGTAACTCTTTGTACATTATAATATTTATTAGAAGCTTTTGTCAGAATGTGTGTAGAATATTTTTAATTCACACAGCATCATCACAAAAATATTTAATGCACTGAAGGGCTTTTGTGCACAATGATATTTCGTACAATTTTGAAGAAAAATTGTATTGCAGTGAAAAAATAAAAAAAAAATAAAAATTTTGCAGCCTGATGATTGTTAATTTCATAAACATTAATACAATCATTTTAAGATTTAAGAGTCTGTATATTTCTACAAATGTTTCTCAGATTTAAAATTTTCTGCAGAATTTTGTTTTTTGACAAGAAAAATTGCAGAATTACTCTTTGAACAAAAATATTTCATTGTTCTTTATAAAAATCTTTATTCAGATGCTCCCAACCGTGATAAACATTTATAAACAATCAATCAAAAAAATCCAAACGTTCTGGAAATTTTTAGAAAAACTTTATTATATCTTTCCTATGAACTTAGCTTTAAACATCCTAAAGTAAAGTTAAAACCTTTTCTTGAGCGAATCATATTACATATTTCAATCATGTTTAATACCTCTAACATCAAAAGGAAAGAATTTTTAAGCGATAACTATTTTTAATTATCCTAGAGATAGAATTA